CAGAATAAATCTGGGGGAACCAGAAGTGGCTTCATGTGGGAGTCGGCGCTGCTTCCTCAAGTGAGGATTCTTAGAGGTGGCACGTGATGGGCTTGGGGGTCCTCACAGCGAAGGTGGGGAGTGCCTGCCCTGTGTGAGGACGGAGGAAGCTGGGGGGTGGGAAGGGGTGATGCTCAAGGAGGCTTTCTTTTCAAAGCCCAGCTGGAGTTGATGTTTTTCTTAGTAACTATCAAGACCACAGGCATTTATGAATTTGGGGAGAGCCGGGGGTCAAATCCCTCTTCTGCAACTTATGACCTTGGCAGAGCACTTCCATGTTCGTTCAGTGAGACTCTTCTCATCATTCAAATGAGGGAGCAGAGGACATGACAAGATCAGGTCACCTATACTCGCTCTCCTGGATTGGAGGTCTCTTGTCTGTAAGACCGTGGGGTTGTTTGTAGTGGAAAACATGCAGAAAAGCAGAAGGACCCGAGGTCATATCTGAACTCAGAACTCAGTAACTGCTCGTGGACAAATTACTGAACCTCTCTGAGCATCAGTTTCCTCATCTGGATGATGGGATGTCGGTCCTGTTTGCCATGCTTAGCTCACTAGGTTGTGTTGCTGAAATGAGATCTATGAAGTTCTTCATAGATCGTATAAAGCTCTTGTTGACGTTTAAGGTTGCTTCCAGCTCTGATTCCGGGGACATTACATCCCATTCTGTTTAGCATCCTTCCAGAGCTCGTGGTAATAGTGCACAGCATAGTAAAGTCACGAAAACACCCTCAGCCCAAGTATTGCCTGGGTCCCTTGAAGGATCAAAAGACTTGGGCACGGTTTGCTATGGAAAATTTGTGGGAGTACAGGGACAGGGTACCCAGTGAGAAAACAGATGCGTTATGATTTGTAGTATGGCAGAATGTTCATAGGGATTGAGATCATTGAGCAATCAATGATTATATATTGGTATTTTATTTCTCTATCACAGCTTCATGAGAATGAGATCTTCATGTTAACTGAAATTTCCATCTCCTTGAAAAGCACTTTAGACATATCTTGTATTTGTTGTGAGAAGGTGTAAGAGAGCTGCCTTTGGAACCAGAGGACTTGGGTTAAATCCTAGCTGTGAGATCTCCTACTTTTGGAACCTTGGGTAAATCACTTTACCCTTCACCGATGGGATTCTCAAAGGATTTAGTGCTAAAAAGGACCTTAGCAATCATTAGTCCAACACTGTCATCTTACTATCATTTTATTGGGGCAGTTAGGTGGCACAGTGGATAGAGTGCCAGACCTGGAATCTGCAAGATTAATGTTCCTGAATTCATATCTGGCCTCAGATTTGTGTGACCCTGGGCAAGTCACTTAACCTTGTTTGTCTCGGTTTCCTCATCTGTAAAATGAACTGGAAAAGGAAATGGCAAACCAGTCTAGTATCTCTGCCAAGAAAACTCCAGATGGGGTCATGAAGAGTCAGACAGGACAGAAAAGTAACTGAAATAATTCTCCTGATTGAGCTAACTGAGGCATAGACACAAGTGACTTGATCAAAGTCATCAAAGCATTCAGTAACAGAGCTGAAATTTGAACCTACCTCCAAATTCAATGGCTATTTTTTCTTTTTTATTCTAATTAATTATATTTATTTTTTTAATTAAAAAAATTGCTTTTCCCCCCTCCCTTTGTCATGCCTTCCCCTTCACTCCCCAAGGCTTTGAGAAGGAAGAAAAACAAAACTCCTGCTCCAAACATGTATAGTCAAGCAGAACAAATTCTCCCCTTAGCCATGTCAAAAAATATGCCTCAATCTGATCACTTTGTCATATCGCCTTTGTCAGAAAGTGGGTAGCATGTTTCACGATGAATCCTAGACAATTTAATTGATCTTTGCATTGATTAGAGATCTAAGTCTTTACAGTAATATTGTTATTGTATAAATTGTTCTTTTGGCTCTGTTCAGTTCTGCATCAAGCATGCAAAGTTTTCCAGCTTTCTCCCCTTTGTCATTTCTTATAACGATAGCGTTCTATCATGTACATAATACCATAACTTGCTCGGCTCTTCCTCAATTGATGGGTACTCCCTCAGTTTTCAGCTCTCTGCAACCTCAGAAAAAGTTACTGGAAATAATTCCGTGTTCCTTCTATTATACCACTGACATCTCTCATCAATATTGTGAATTCCTTCTTGACCTATGGCGTTTGTTTGATCTCCTGTCCTTTTCATCCTGGCCTTTCTATTTTATATTCAAAACTTTCCTCAGGACTAAGGGCATGTTTTTGTTGTTATGACCATGTAATTGTACTAAAAATTTAGCTAAGTTTCCTAAATTAATCAGAGCCATTTTGAACTTTTTTCCAATAGCCATCATAATATTCCTTATTTTTTAGATGGATGTCATTTCAGAAGTCACGGATGGCCTTGAAATCGCAGAACCTGTTATCAACGGTATTGGTATGTGGACACCAGTTTCCTTATTTTGTGATTTAGAATTTGGGAATCTTTTGTGCCGTAATTCATACTGCACAATGTCTTTTGTTGGGTTTCAGAAAATAGGTCTTTAGTTGATGAGAAACTTTTACTCCACCAAAAACAAGAAGCAGCAGTGGACCCAGCCTTCATGACACCGGATAAACTTAAGACCCCAGTGAACTTTTCTACAGTAACAGTGGAGCAGCTTGAAATTACACCAGACAGTTTTGTGAAGAATTCACCAGGTAAGAGCAGAAGATGACTTTCTAGTCCACTTTTTAAGAGTAGACCTTGAAATACTGGGCAGCCTTTTTTTTCTTTTTTTTTTTTTATCCATCTTGCCTATACAGGTATCTGGTTGGAATAACTTGTTTTGCTTTTTAGACTACCTTTCACAAGAGGACTTCTTCAGTCTTGTCAGAGCAGAGTTTATCTTTTTGGAATTTATTACATTTTATCGCAATATAAATTAACTTCACTGAATCAGATTTCTTCAGTCCCTTTCCTATATAGGAGGGAAAAAAGTCTTTTTTCTTGCTTCAGTGTTTCGGAATATCTGTGGTTTCATCATTTTGGATCCTCTCTCTTCTAATGTAGATCCTAGTACCTTGACAGTTGAATCTGTGGCACTGTGCACCATTTTTAACAATAGAAATAAGATGGGTGCCTGGAAAAGGGAACTGTGAGTGAGCCAGAATGGCTTCATTGCCTTTTTAAGCATGATTACTAAAGTGGTAAATGAGGGCGATACTGGATTTTTACCAAACCTTTGGATAATTTGGATGCAGACAAGGTGATTATATACATGTTTGTTCTTATACCAGTCGCGTCCCAACTTTTGATGACCCCATTTAGGGTTTTCTTGGCAAAAATATTGGAGTGGTCTGCCATTTCCTTCACCAGCTCATTTTACAGATGAGAAAACTGAGGCAAACAGAATGAAAGACTTGCCCAGGTCACACAGCTAGTAAATATCTGAAACCCGATTTGAACTCAGGTCTTCATGATTCCAGGCCCAGTGCTTTATCCACTGAGCCACCTAGCTGCTGATTATACAGGTAGCCAGATTCAGAACTAGTTGGCTGGCCAAACTCAAAGAGAAGTTGTTAATGGTTCAATGTCAGCATGGCAGGAGGTGTCCAGTGGATTCGCCCGGTTGTTTATGCTCGATCTGTGCTTTTTAATACTTTCATCAGTGACTTGGAAAAATAGCCACGTGCTCGCCAGGTTTGCAGATAACACAAACCTGGGACCGAAAGCTAGGTAGGGTCCAAAAAGATCTTGATACTAAGTGAGCATTAGGTTGAATCGAATACAGCAGTTGTTCTGGAAAACATCTGGGCTTTTTAGTGGCCTTGAAGCTCAGTGTGCTAGTCTGAAAGGCGGTTTGAGGCTGCACTGAGAAGCACAGCCTCCTGGAAAAGGGAGCTGATAGTGCCTCTGTGTTCTGCTCTCTTCAGCCCTCTTCCAGAGTGCTGTGTTCATTTCTGTGCACTTTGCGGATGTCAGTTGGGTTGGCAAAGGGCCTTGTGCTCATGTCATCAATGGATTGACTGAAGGAGCTAGGCATGTTTGGCCTGGAAAAGAAGATTGGGAAGGAGGTATGTGAGCAGTTGGTATGTATTTGAAGGGAAATCAGGTAGAGGATGAAAATGGGATTTTTCTGTATGACCTCAGAGGGCAGCATGAGGAACAGGGAGTGGAGATTGCAGAGAATCTGGTTTATTTGATGTCAACTAAGCCTTCTTAACAATGAGAACTGTCGCACAGTGGAACAGGCTGCCTGAGTGGGGAACGGGTTTGGGGAATGTTTGGTGGTAATTCCTTTTGTGGATGGGATGGACCAGGTGGCCCCTTTCCATCTCTCAAATTATTCTGTGTTTTCATGACCATTTTTCATTGTGGCCACAATAATTTACAGCTTATTGGTCAATTTCCTGGTGATGTCTGGTCTCCAAACTTGTCTTATGGGTTCATCCTCAGATGACAGTTTCATAAGGCCTATGCTAATTGGATAGAATCTGCCATCACTTGCGGTCTGCCGGCATAGTTTTCAGGAATCCAGGGTAACCGTCATATTTCACTGAAGCAGAAAAGTAGGATTTTAGTGGATGTTGAATATTCTTGTATGTGTCTAATTCCAGGTCTAGTCAGTTTAGATATGAGAGCAGTCATAGGGTGTTACAAGTCAAAATGTATTTTGTCTCCAAGTGATGATATTTTGCAGAACAAAAATTCGAAGAGCAGGCAAGACCAGATTTAAAATTCATACACACATGTATACATGTATGTACATGTGTGTATACATGCACATACACATATATCTATGTCTTTGGGTACAAGTGACCCAAGCATATTAACTGCTTGATTTGATTCTATTTTTGAAAGGCAAAATGCTCAAAAGAGGTGAAATAGAAATACTTAGGACAGAGGTGTCCAATCTCTCTCTCTCTCTCTGATATCTCTTGATATTCCTTGATTCGCATTAAACTGGCTCATATTTTGTGTTCAGTATGGAAGGGAATTTTAGAGTTTACCACCCTCCTGCACATAAATGGAATCTAGTTATCACTTCTTCCCCATAGCCTCTTTCCAAGCTTCTTGTACCCTCAGTGGTCACTATCCTGCAGGTGAGAAACCCCTGCCATCTGATGAGTTCATCAGCCACTTTGAAACCCTTATTTTTCCCCCTAGATCTTTTTTTTTTTCATGCGTTGTCAAGGGTTAGCTGGCCAGGACATTGAAGCTCTGTTGGGTTACATGGTCCCCAGCTGTAATTCTAATGCCCAGGCCTATTTTGTCAGGTCTTATTTTGCATCTTAGCTAAGGGGACAATCTGAAGGTCTTTTGAGTATTTATGTTATGATTGGGAAGGGAAGATTATTTCCCAAAATATCCTAAAGGAGAGAAATCTCATTATCGTTTCTTACCCCATTTATCTAGTTACAATAGGATTATGCTACACTTGAATAACAAAGTAGAAAGACTGACCTCAAGGCTTCACAGGATAATTAATGCAGTCTTGTGATCCAAGCACACGGAACTTACACAAAGAATTTCTGGGTTGGAAGGGATTTTAGAAGACACCCAGTCCCCAACCCACCTCTGAAAAAAAGTCCTTTACGAGGTAATCATAAAGCAGTGAGGAGAAGGAGGGCACCTCGAAGGAAGTCTTGAGACAGCCCCTCAGTCTTGGGACAGCTCTGCACCTTAGGAAGCTTTGCCTGACCTCAAGCCTCAGTTTGTCTCTGCCTTTTCTACCCAGTGCTCCTGGTTCTGACCTCTGGCCGAGCACAAGACTAATCCTCCAGAAGCTGGATGTGACCTGGCATGCTGCCTGGGAGCAGCTAACCCTGCCCGTGCCTTCCCTGATTTTCCTATGGCCCCTCACCATCATTGTTGCACTCTGAGTGTGGTATCCAGGAGCCCAGCCAGGGCCTGCTTGGGGCAGAGCACCACAGGACTGACTGCCATCCCGGATCTCTTGGGCTATGCCCGAGTTTCCATTCTATTCTTTCTTGGCTCCTTGGACTTGCAGGCCACTCTCAGCGTGTAATTATTCATGAAGAGAAAAATGAGCAAACAGAGTAGGTATCTCTGCTATGATAGAATGATGGTCAGTTTGGAATTTCTTGTAAATTTGTTCAGTTTGTAGATAAATGTGCATGTTGGAGGTTGAGAATAAGGAAAGACAGTTGTGGCCAGTTCAGGGTTGCCACAAATCCGTGGTTTAGGAGAAAGCCTGCTGATAGTCTCTGGAGTGGAAATGAACGGAGTCAGCTCAGTTTGATGGAGACAAACTGCCATCAGAAGGCCTGCTTTGGAATTCTGGCTCAGCTGCTCGCTCTGGGAGTGATGCTTGGGCCAGCTGCTTCAGCCCTTGGGTCTCCGGTAAATGAAGAGGACTGGACTAGATGATGATGTGTGAATCCAGATTCAGTTCAAGTGTCTAGCACTGTGCTGGGCATACAAAAACTCCTATTCTGATGTGAAAAAACAAACAAGTACTTGAATAAGTAAATGGAAAATGTATACAAAATGGGGGTTGTTGTTGGAGGGAGAGAGAATTTGTAGCTTGTGGGTCAGGAAAGGTCTTGTGTAGGAGGGGCACTTGACCTCATAAAGGAGAGTTTTAATTCTCCTTTGGGACTAGCTGGAAGGTGTCTCTAGTCTAGTCTGTATGGGAATCCTGGCCATTGTAGGGTTGTTTGATGTTTTCCCTGGAGAGAAGCCTGGGATGGGGAGGAGGTAGGGTGAGTCTGATTGCTATCTTTCCCTTCCTTTGCACCTTGCTATCTGCCCTGCCTCTGAACTCTCCTCTTTGCATTGTCTCCTCTAATTAGAAAGTCAGCTGGAGGGTAGGAATCTCATTAGCTTATCTCTGTGTCTGTCCCTGGCGCTTCTCACAATGCTTGGCACATTGTAAGCACTTAGTAAGTCCTTTTTCATTCATTCATTCACCCTCTGTGCAAGGAAAAACTTAACTAATATTTAGAGTTCTCCCAAAAAGGAATGGATTGCCTTGGAGTATAGTGATTTCACTTATACCAATAAGGATATTTTTGTCACAGGTGGTAGGTTTGACTAGACAAATTCAGAGAGGTTTTTCCACGTAAAGATGTTGTATGAATTGAGTACATCTGTATTTTTTTTTATGTATAAATACAGGATATCCCAAAAGTCTTACATGGTTTTAAAGATTAAAGCTTTGTTTTTAAAGTACACTTGTATAATGAGTAGATAGGCATGTCTCACCAGCAACTTAAAATCCAAGTAGACATGTTAAAAAATGTATTCTTTGACCAGAAATTTACATGTGCCAAAGAATTTTTTTTTCTAGCCAGTGTACACATTTTCAAGTGAATAAGACCTGACTGACCAATAAATAGACTCTGAGGGAGAAAGTAACTTTTTTTTTAACTTTAAAAAAATTACTAGCAAACACTAAAATAAGCATCTCTCTCTCTCTCTCTCTCTCCCTCTCTCCCTCTCCCTCCCCACATATTAGAACAGGAAAAGGGTTCCTGAAACTAGGAACCTCTCCTGTTTATGGCTTTAAAATATATAATAAATTCAATATATAACTTTCAAAGTTATCCTGCTTATCTGTGATTCTTTCTGGCCTTCTGTCTTCTGTGCATTTAAAAAGAAATGTTTCACTGACCCTTTTTTCTTTCAGGAACTTATTTTACTTTCTTTTGTATTCCCAGCAGCAGATGTGGAAGATACTTAATAAGTTATTGAGTTGGGCAAGCCCAGTATTCTTCATGTGTAGAAAATAGGGGCAGAAATGTCCATTAAAAATCCATATGTATACTAATTGTATGCAGAAGATTGTTTGCTACTAGAACTTTAAACATCATAAGCTTCATTAAAACATGTTAACTATTGAGTACTTTTTTCAGGACGTTTCCTAAACTGTAAGAAAATTTTCATTCCAGGAAAATCCTTGCTAAAAAAATCCAGGCGCCGATCCACAATTGGAGTCAGAGGTTCTCCTGAAACAAATCTTCTCATTAGATACATTGCTCAGCAAAGGAATTTAAAAAATGCAAATGATTCTCCTTTGCTGGAGGCTTCTCCTTCAATACAGGTATGTATTTTTTTATAAGTTCTTGAAATGATGTATTAGTAAAAAAAAGAATATAAACTGTTTCCGTTTTGTTCTGTCTTCTTTCACACGTTCTGGTTATGGGCAGAGACCACTTTTTTCCTGTCCTGCAAATTCCCTAATGTACATTATGTACTTGGTTGGCCTACAGTAAGTCTTAACTGTTGATGTTTGTGTAAATGTGGCATCCTTCATTCAATAATTCTCTGCTGATAACCAGAAAGGCACAAAATGATGGCCACATAGAGGTGAGATAGTGGAGTATGTCCTACACAGATTCCCAAGGGAAGAAGTAGGGACCTATTGGTGCTTCCTGTTTCACAGTCTAGACCATAAGCTCATCAATGGCAAGGACTGTTTGTTGGCCTTAGTTCTTCCTGTCCCCAGAGTCTAGCACTGTGCCCGCTACATCTCAACACTTAATAAAATGCTTGCTGATTTTTAGAACTGTTTGCCTCTCCTGAATGCTTCTAAGTCTCAATGGTCCGTGAGCACACCTGCAGTAAGAAACACTATCCATCCCTACTGCCCACTGAGAATCCCCTCTTCCACTGGAAATCTGTGAAGGACATACTCCATGATCCTGTTTATATGTGACAATCATTACATGCCTTTGAGGTTATCAGCAGAGAATTATTGAATGAGAGATGCTCTGTGTGTGTGTGTGTACATTATGTATGCATGAGTTAAGTGCAAAATAGATCCAAAGTAAATATAAGATAGTGAGGGGAGGGTGTGCTGAGGGAGCACTAACTAGCAGCTGGGGGCATCAGGCCACACATCCTACCAAAGAGGGACGAGTAGCAGGGATTTAAAGGCATGAAAATAGGAGAGGAAATGGATAAGAACATGCAGCAGATCAGGAGGCATAGAATGAAGAGTGTGAGAAGGGAGTAACATGTAGGCTGGGCCCAGGAGGTCTTTGAATTTGTTTGCTTATTCTCTGTGTTTTATACCTGTAAGTACATTGTGAGAAAGGGTATCTGGCTTTGCCACACAGCCAGAGGGAACCGTGGCAGAAAAGGGATAGGGAGCATCGTGAGCAGGGGATGGCGTGGTCAGAACTAGATTGGCGATCAGTCTCTCTGGTGCCATGTGGTGGCTGGTTGGGGCGGGGTGGGGAGGAGGGGGGCCAGAGAGAAGACCAGGTAAGAAGCTGTTGCAGGAGTTCAGATGAGAGGTCACGAGGACCTGAAATGGTGGGGAGAATGGAGGAGAAATGGAAGCAATACAAAGGGATCTGATTGGAGGAAGGAGTCGTGAGAGTGAGAAAATCCACTACTAGAGTTACTCTCATCTGGTGGGTGGCCCACTGAGCTTGTGATGCTGTCCTTCCCTGAGTCTTGGATACACACTGCAGATGACCCAGAAGCCAACCAGGAGCATTTATTAAATGAAAAAGAACACCCTAGTTGGCCCTTGGGAAACTTCACATTCCTTCCTGGGATCACTGTCCTCTAACATCTAAACTTCTCTTTAATTTCACATTTGATTTGAGAGCTTTTTTCAAATTCTATTTTTCCTACCTGTTGGATCATCCTTGGTAACCAAATAGAAAAAGCAAATTAGGCAAAACTAACCAAACACATCAATCTAATCTGCTAGCAGATGCAGTGTTCCCTACCCATATTCCCCCTCCTCTGCCATGGAGGGAGAAAGGTGGATTTTCTCCTCTCTTTGAAGATAAGCTTAGTCTTTATAAGTACACTGTTCAGTTTCATGATTTTTATTTTTGGTTATTTTAATTTCTATTATATATATTTTCTGAATTCTACTTAGTTTCACTCTGCATTATTAATTCATAGAAAACATCCTGTTCTCACATTTTTCTTATTATTTCTCATGATGCTGTAATATTCCTACATTCATGTATCACAATTTGTTTAGCCATTACCTGGCCAATAGACATCTACTCCATTTCTCAAAGGGCCCACAAAAAGTGCTGCTTGAATGTTGAGGAGGTGGTAGTGAGCACTGTAGGGCTTGTGGGTCAAAGGGAATGGACATTTTGGTCACAACATAATTCTACATTGCTTTCCAGAATGGTTGGACCGATTAATAGCTCCACCGGAAGCTATGTTAGCGTTCCCTTCCCTCACCACCATTAGATATTTGCCTACAACATACATAAACATGTCTCCTCCATCCTCAAAAAAAAAAAAAAAGATCCTCACTGGATCTGTCCATCCCTTCTAGCTGTTGTCTTGTAGCTCCCTTTCCTTTTATTAGTAAACTTCCTGAAAAGGCTATCTATAATAAGTGACTTCGTTACCTTTCATCTCACTCTTTTTCTTTGCATTCTGGCTTCTGATGTCATTCAACCAAAACTACTCTCTCCTTAGTTACTAATGATCTCTTAATTGCCAGATCTAATGGTCTTTTCTCCGTTCTCTTCATGATTCTCTCTTCTTGCTTTTCATGACTGTTCTCTCTCTCAGTTCCCTTCTTATATGTCTAATGAGCACACTGCTTGGCACATAATAGATATGATAATAAATCATTCTTAGATCTACTTGTTGAGGCCTAACCTTTTTTTCCTGATCTCCTATCATCTTTTGCCTTTTAGACATCTCAAACTAAATGTCCCATAAACAGACATCTTAAACTCACCGTGTCAAAAACTAAACTCATTGTTTTTGCCTTCTAAACTCTCCCCTCTTCCTAACTTCCCTGTTACTGAAGCTGCCACCATTTTCCCAGCCACCTGGGCTGCCAACCTAGAGGTCATCCTCGACTCTTCGTTTTCACCCCCACCATCCCCATCCAGCCTTTTGCCAAGGCCCATCAATTTTACCTTGGTAACATTTCTCATATAGACACCCTTCTCTAATGCTTCCACCATCCTGGTGTAGGCCCTCATCACCTCACACTTAGACTGTTGTTACAGTAGCCTGCTAGTTGGTCTTCCAGCCTCAAGGCTTTCCCCACTCTAGTCCGTTGTCCATTCATCTTCCAAAAATATAGGTCTGACCCCCCACCCCCATTCTACAAAATCTTGTGGTTTCCCATTGATTCTAGGATCAGATATAAAGTCCTTTGGCTTTCAAAAGCCCTTCATAACCTAGCCCATTCCTTTCCTTTCATTCTTCTTTAACTCTTTAATCCCCTCCTCCATGTTCTCTACAATCTAGTGACACCAGCTTCCTTGCTCTTCACACAAGATGCTCCCATCTCCTCTCTGCAGGAACTTTCATTGCCTGTCTCCGCTGTCTGGAATGTCTCCCTCCTCATCTCTGCCTTTTGGCTTCCTTCAAGTCTCAACTAAAATCCAACTTTGTGCAAAAAGCATTTCCCAGTTATCCTTCATTTTAATTCCTTTCCCGCTGATATCACCCCCAATTTATCCTGTTATGTATCTTGTGTATACAATTGTTTGCATTTTGTTTCTCCCATTAGAAAACTGAGCTCCTTGACAGCAAGGACTGTTTTTTTGCCTTTCGTTGTATCCCAGGCTATAATATAGTGCCTGGCACACAGTAGGTACTTAATGCTAGTTAATCAACTGACTGATGGACTATTTCCATAACTATTTGGCACTTTGTGAGGTAGAAGGTGAAGCCTTAGAATCGAAAAGTCTGTCATTTTAGCATCAGTATTTTTAATGATTCCATGTGGCTGTGAAACTTAAAACCCTAATTTTTGAAGTACCAAATTACCCAATTAATAAATGTTTATTAAGATCCAAGCCCTGTGCTAGGCTCTTGCCAGTGAATCAGAGAGCAATGGAAATACATGTAGACATAAGTAGGCTTCAAGATATTGATAGTGGTGATTTGCCTGCAAGAAGTGGTTTAAAATACTACCCCTTCCCCAAAAATTGAAGTCAAGGATGACCCAAAGGGCCATGAAAAGGCATTTATGATGGGTTTGTTAAAGTTGCAACATATTGTGAAGATTAATTTAGTTGCACTGATGTTAAAGGTTATGATCAGAAACATCTTAGGATTGAGCCTCTGACATGGACTTGTCCTATGGGGCAAGTGCTCCATTGTTACCCTTGCTGTGTGGAGAATGTGAGGAATATTACCCCCACCCCCATCCTGCAATCCTAGTACCTGGGTTAAATTCCCTATGATCAATTTGAAAGAAAACCTGGATGATAACGGCACTGATGTACAGTTAAGGTCAGGTTATAGTCTGCATTCCCAAAGGGTGGCCAAGCCAGGGAACATCCAAAAATCAATCAGTCACAAGTGAGAGTAAGGAACCCCTCACACGCTACCCTGGTACCTAGGCAATGTTAAAAGTCTAAAGGAAAGAAAGCCTCCACCTCTTGGCTATAGATCTTCTCCCATCCCTCCTTTAGAGGGAATGGATAAAAATGTACAAGAAAAGAAATGATGAGCGGGTGGACTTCAGAGAAACCTGGAAAGACTTATATAAACTGGTGCTGAGTGAAATGAGCAGAGCCTAGAGAACGTTGTACACGGTAACAGCCACATCATGCAATGACTGACTTTGATAGATTTGGCTCTTCTCAGCAATGCAAGGATCTGAGACAACTCCAAAAGACTCACGACGGAAAATGCTGTCCACGCCCAGAGAAAGAACTATGGAGTCTGAATGTAGATGGAAGCATGCTATTTGCTCTTCTTTCCTCTTATTGTTTTGTTCTGTTTCTTCTTTCTCAGGGTTCCTCCCATTAGTTCAAATTCTTTACATCATGACTAATGTGAAAATATGTATAATATGAATGCAAGATGGAGATTACACTCCATCTTGGAAAGGGAGGAGAAGACGGAGGGGGAGAAAATTTAAAACTCAAAATCTTATGGAAGTGAATGTTGAAAACTAAAAATAAATTTATTAAAAAAAAACTCAGAGGGAAGAGAATATCAAGGAGAAGAGGGTGATTGACAATGTCAGAGGCCTAAGAGAGTATAAGAAGTTTAAAGATATAAAATAACATACTGCTTTTTTTCTGTATTAGGTACTGAATTTTTATGAAATCCATCTGATACTTTAATAATGAGCTTTAAATA